CTGATACTGCTTAATCAGAGCATGTCATCAGTTCATTTGATTACGGTAATGCATGAAAATAAGGTTTACATAATGCAAAGAACTTACTGATAGCAATATAAAGTGGAAGTTGTATAAATCTGCTCAATTCTGTAGCCAGTGGAATAGTTAAGACTTGATGAAAGAAAAGGGGGTGGGGTTAAAAAGTAGAACACATTAAAACATTTTGAATGTTACTAATTATAAAGAGGCATTGATCCAGAGACTCACGTGCAATCCTTTTGTGAAATAACTGAGTTGTGAGCAAAATGAGTGAGTAAAGTGTAGATCAGATGTTGAGATACGTTTTGAATCTTAAACCTTGGACTTTGTAGAACAAATGTTAGCAGGACCATTCAACTCTTTCAAAACTATTATTAAACTGGCCTCCACACTCACCTACCTTAACACCCCTTGACTTTTATCTGTGGAGATATTTAATGGTCAAAGTGTTCACCCCCTCCCCCCCAAAAAAAAAAAAATCAAAAATAGTCTGAAAAATGAAACCTAATTCATTTCCGAGAGACTCTTTGCAAAAGTAGAACTTTCTTGCACCGGATAGATTTTTTTCCTTTCAGCACAAATGACGCCGTTTAGAGCTTATTTTTTAACTGGGAGAAATTTTACAAATTTATTTTTTCTTTTGTAATTCATTTTCTATTTGCTGTATTAACTTTATTTTAATAAGAATAAAATCTTGAAGTTGTGACTTTTTATTAGATATGATGGGGCATGGTATTGGTCAAAACGCCATTAAAATCTAATCGATGAAAATGATTGCATGTTTTCTGAAACACCCTGTATGTGTATACATAATGAAGAAAATTGTCCGTCCTTGGCACTCCATTATCAACATGTTTTACTTTACTTGTATTTCAAAATTATCTGAGACTACTTACATTGAACTTGTCCACCTCTGACTTGATCTGTTGATCTCTGCTGCTAGAAGCTGTCTCATTGTGTGATCTTTTTCTGTTTCCTTTATCCCCCTCCTATAATAAATTTATCGATGTTAAAAAGTTTTTCAGAACGGTGATTATGATAATTCTCTTTACATGTAAGTTTTAATACCCTTCCACACTGCAATTCTGCTGTAATTTATTTTAATGTGCTAGGAAGTTCAGAGACATCTGAGAATTATTTACTTTTTTTTTTTTTTATAAAAATATACTCTTAGCTAATAATTACATGTACATCATGTACATATAGGGGGTATATTTTTCATTAAAAGAAAAATAGGTAAAGTCAGGTACCTGTGAGAAAATTCTCCCTTGTAATTAATTTAAGTTATCGCTGAAATTTTCGTAAATGAATTCTTTTTAAATGGTTAAAAAAACTATAATAATGAATTTGCTAACTGATATGTCACCATCAAGGCATTGAAATGTACCGTATATCTGGATTTTTCCGCGTGTATCCAATTTCCACTTTGTTTGCGACGAGTTCTGAATTGGGGTAAATAAAACAGCGTAAATTTAATACAACGTTTTCTTCTTGTAGTAGAATCATTTCTTAATACTTATATCGTAGAGGGTAGAAAAAGCAGGATCAGAGGACAAGCGCAAGATACCGGTAATAGGTAAAAGCCCTTATTGTTTGTTTACTTATTGACAAGCTAGCTAATTATATGGGTCATGTTCCTTGTGAGAGGCTATTAAACTAATTATACCTGAGCTGCTAGTCAGTTTGGAACAGTAAATGACCTATGATTGTTTAAATCTTAAAAAATAATATCTGTGAATTTGAGAGTTAGTACGCAACAAAGGTGTGTAATCAGCTGAGCGGATTATCAGAAATTGACGAGGTGATGGTCGATCGATCTGTTTCTCATCTGTATGAAGTAACTCAAGCTTAATGACTTTACATTTAACATCCAATTCCTTCATAGGCTTAAACAATTGTAAATAATATAATCACTGGGATGTTGAAATAGTGAAAATTTGATTTGTGTAAATTTAATATACTGATTTAGGTTCTGATTCGCGGAAAAAACATGACACGGAAAAAACCTGATATACGGTAACCTTCAGACTGACGAAATAAAACGCCTATGTCTGAAGGTGTAAATCAAAGTTGAAAAAAAATCAAATTGGTAACTAATGCATATGGATCCTAGCCAAAAAACCTATGACCCCTGACCTTCTCCTTTCTGGCTCTGTCCGCTGGACTGTCTGTCCACATGGACCGGTCACTCATGTCTGGCCCAGCATTGGCACGAAATGTTCGAGCAGTCAATCCAATATTTTGTCCAAGGCAGTCTGGTAGCTCTGTCATCCAGGACTCTCGTTTGGGTTGGCTTTCTGGTTCATTCTGTTTAAATGGTTCTAAATTATCAAATCTATGAACTTGTGATGCCAGTTTATGTTTACAATGTGAGGGAAGTTTCATGATTTGAATTTTCTTTCAATCAAATTGCAAGTTACTGAATATTATAACCGTAAACAAAAGGAGGTCATTTCAATAAGTGTAAAACTAGCTGCAATAATGTAGCCCTCTCCGATTTTTTTTTATCTGATATTTTCTGGAGAGGGCTACAATTCCATAGCATCTCCGTAATGGTGCAAAAATATTTTTTAAATACGAGCGACTGCAGGCCGAATAAATTGTTTTTACATTCAACTTACTTCTTATAAGACGAGATTTTTATTCACTGTCGACATCATAGCTCGTTAAACGCGAAAACCATGTAAAATAAATCTGTGTGATTTCTTCTCGCTTATTTCGCAGCCATGACAGTTCACGCGTGACGTATTGAGACTTACGCTTGAATTTTGAATAACTCAATAAAGCAAATGTCGAGGTAAATAAATAATTGTGATGAATAGTAACACTAAACATCGATGAATAAAATCATTCCATGTGTCATTTTTTCGTAAACAGTGATATTTAGGCTTAAAATAAGGTAATTCCAAAGAAATCCGCTCCCTGTAGATCCTTAATCTCATTGGCTGTCTTAAAATAAAATCTGTCAAGGTCAGTAAACATGGCGGATAAATTTAAGTTGTGATGTTGACATACACGAAAAATACTGATATATTGATTGTTCTGTATATTTTATGTTCGATTTATGTCTGGGATAACTACATTATGGAAGTTCAGGTAAGGCATATAAATAAAATAGCCGTTTACAGACAATTTGAGACGAAATCCGTGCGGGAGCGATTCACTCCCGCTCTGCGCCATTAGAAAGATCCTAAGGAGTTGTAGCCCTCTCCCGAAAAAAAAAAAAAAAAAAAAAAATCGGAGAGGGCTACATTATTGCAGCTAGTGTAAAACATGAACAGTGATGAATGAGTTTAGAATAGCTTCAATATTACATTGCTGAATTGACTTACTCCTAAGCTCCCACCCCAAAAAATAAAAAAAAATTACTTTTCCATCCAGCTGATCCCTCATTTTCTGAGCCCTTCTTTCAAACTCTGCAGAAAAACTGCTCTGTGAATTCCCTGCTGTCATTTCAGTAGGAAGAGGTCCATTGAGATCACTGTCATCTTCATCTTCTTCTCTTGATGAAGAAGACTGGGTGTTTCTTTGTAAATGAGGGGGCAGGCATGGACCAATCACATTATCATCTTTTGTTGCACTGTTTGAACTTTGATCACCAGGTAAACATGGACCAATCGAATCAGTTCTTGAATCACTGTCATTAGAACACTTGAATTTAGCTGTTAAATGTGGAGGAAGTGATGGACCAATAGTTGACAAACTTTCAGGTGACTTTGATTCAGATGTTGGGGGTGTGGCCTTTTCTGAACTTTGTGATTGGGTGTGAGATGACCTGATGTGTGGTGGTAGTGAGGGACCAATGCTGGAGGCCTCTTCATCTGACGATGAATCTGCAGACTCTGATTGGATGTTTGGGGGAAGCTGCGGTCCTATCCCATGTCTGCTCTCACTGTTAGATTTCTGTTTAATTTCTTCTTGTCTTGGATTAGTGAGTCCTGAAAAATGAATTAAAACTTTACAGTACGCTGTAATCATCAGCTAATGATGGTAATAGCGAGCGCAGCGAGGCGGAGCAAAGCACCGCTCGCGTAGCGAGCTCAATAGACTAACGTGTACGAACGGAGGAAATTCGGGTTGAAATCTGCATATTGTTCCAAGAAATTTTTATCTTACTGCGTGAAAAAATTTCAAACTCCCAATAATCCCTTGCGGTGCATAGCAACATGGTGGCTAAAACATAGCAACAACTTACTTGAAAAAAAATTACAAACAACGATTTAATGCAATCTCCATGCTACAAAACTATCGTTTCCGTTCTATGTTAGCGGGACTTTTTATTTGACGTCATACTTTCGTCACTTAACGGCTCGGATATTTCCGATTTTGTCGGAACTTCCGAAAAGATCGGAATCTCGATCCCGATGCCTGGGAAGTGATTTCTTTTTAATCTTTTCTTTTTTTACTGAACTGAGGATAGGCAGTGCAAGTAAAAACTGCATGTGTAAATTTTTTTGATAGTTAATAACTGCGCTCGCCCCAATGGTCACACCGTAGAACATATTAAAATGAAAGCAAATATCTATATTGTCTATTTACATGCATTTTAAGTTAAAAATCTAATTCATTATAATTTCAAAATGATTTTTTTTTAAGTTTTAAACATTATCAGTCAGGGGTGTGATTGAAATCCATCATTTTTAAAAATGATTGATTATGGTCATTTCTTCTAAGTGTATAATGTACACGTTCTTCTTATTTTTGTAAATATGACTGTTTTTCATCATATTTCCATTCCAAAGTCAATTTTTCCAACCCATTTACTACAGTTATTCGATATAATACAGTATCCTGCCATAGACCCTTGTGTAGAGAAACATCTTGACAAGTAATTGAAACCAAAATAATTTAGTGCGCCCCGTAAAACTAACGAGATAATTAAGTGTGCCCAGACCTAACAATTTGATGAAAAATGATGAAATCCAGTCATTTTTAATATCAGAGGTAAATCTATTTCTAAAATGAATTTCAAAATAGAAATGATTATTTTCATCATTATTCTAAAATATATTCATTTGTGGTATCTCTCCATTATATAAACACACAGAAAGAAAATATCTTCAATTCTGTATGAAGTTTGTCAGAGGTCAGAGGTGAATACGTGACCTAATCACACGGCGCAATAATATCTACCGGTACATAAATTATAAAATGACCTGCTCTACTTGCTTTTCATGTATAAAAATGAACAAAATAAGCAAGTAAAATGATAATTATTTTATTTAAAATGTAAACAAGTATTTCATACATTTTTTTGGACTATCGATTTAACCTGTGTACATAGAGAAAACTAGGAGCCAAATGTTTGTTTACATTTTTCTTCACTTTTGTCAACTCAACTGCACAGTCTCTAACGTTCATCCTTATTTTTTGGGTAGACCTTTGGTTAAATTTTCATGATAAACTTTCATTTTATCTTTAAATTTTACTCACGATAAATGTGTAAATCTGTTGGAAAATATCATTGCAATCATGCCATGAACAGCTGTCAAACACCTCGGCGTTTTCGTAGTTCAATGTAGAGCTGTCGCCAGTGTCTCCGTGTTTATCAGTGTTTTACGAGAAGTATGCTTTAGTTACTGAAGTCGTAAAATGTTTTTGATCAAATTGCAAATTAACTGGCTCGGACAAGTGTCTCAATCCATCGGACCCATCCATCCCTTTCTGGCGACCGAACTTATTCCTCAAACTTTTTATCATCAAACTTCGCCAGTTCAGTTTCTTGTGTCTTTTCAGCAACGATTATCATTTTTCACGAATAAAAATATTCCCAGACAACAATCTGTTCACTATGACTGATCACAAGTAGCCTTTTACAAAATATTCCGTTCGAAATAGATTCCTTAGCCTAATGAATTCGAAGCGTACCCGCCGTGCAAGCCGATTTACAACTTAGGTCATTTTACAAAATCTACGACGGACAGTTAGTGCAATAATTTAAATTTAAATATTTAATTGTCTGTCTCAAATGTATATATAAGTAATAAATAACAAGTTTATAAACTTCAATGGGAATTGAAGTGGGTCGGTACATGATCAAATCTTCTGAGAAGGCCTTCGGCCTTCACAGGATTTGATCACGTGACCGACCCACTTCAATTCCCATTGAAGTTTATAAACTTGTTATTTATTTCTTAAAAAGATGAATTTCAATCATTTTTAAAAATCAATTAAATGTCTAAAAATCATCATTTTTGGAAATGATGGATTTCCATCACACCCCTGACTGATTATATATTTGCCTTTTATATCTCAACAAATAACAATTCTAAGTGACGTAAGTCACAATTTTTTATTGAAGATTCGATTTGATAAAATATTGAATAAAACATATAATAGTGAGCGCAGCGAGGCGGCGCAAAGCGCCGCTCGCGTAGTGAGCTCAATAGACTAACGTGTACGAACAGAGGAAATTCAGGTTGAAATCTGCACATTGTTCCATGAAATTTTTATCTTACCACATGAAAAAATTCCAAACTCCCAATAATCCTTTGCGGTGCATAGCAACATGGTGGCTTAAACATTGCAACAACTTGCTTGAAAAAAATTACAAACAACGATTTAATGCAATCTCTATGCCATAAAAATATTGTTTGCGTCCTAAGTTAACAGTATACACTTATTTAATGCCTACGAGGTAAACAGTGAAACTATTGTCCCGAAGTAGTTGGGAAGACCTGGGAAACTGTTGCTCGAGGCCGAAGGCCGTGGGCAACAGTTTCACAGGTCTTCCCCACTACGGAGGGACAATAGTTTGACTGTTTCACCGAGTAGTCATTAATTAAATAAGTGTTTTATTACCTAACCTACTATATAATTTATTAAATTGGAATAAAACACTCAAACAATCAATAAAGAGTTTAAACAACTGTTATCCACATACCAGTCTATTAATTAGCTGAACACAGAATGTATAAAGATTAAATCAATATTTAATAATTTTAATCAATACTTAATAAATTGATTGTTTGTGTGTTTTATTCCAATTTAGTTAATTATATAGCAGTAGGGTGAATTCACCATGCATCGGATACCCTTGTACTTCAACAAGTTCTAGCGATATCACTACCGAAGGAAAATTATCAAAATGGACCTCAACATTTAGTTTGTGATTAAAATATCAATTTAGGACACAATTATATGCCTTTTATTGAGAAAATATCCCCCAAAATCGAGTTTTTAGGAATAACTGAGAATTCACCATGGATCGGACATTGTTCACCATGCATCGGACCGACGGTATTGAAAACGGAAAAATATGTACCTTTATCACAGTGCTTTAAAATCCTTGATATGGGTATATTTTCATCTTTTATCTAAGAAATAACCCTCATCTAAAATTTAATTGACGATATAGTTGCACAAATGTAGAACGATTCAAGATACATCGCTCTGCCTTAGAAATGCTTTAAAATGCTTAGAATGCGGTAATTCGCGCCTTTCTCTCATGGTTTATCATACTCTGGTTTGTAGAAATAAATTGAGTCAAATTCCAGGCGTCATATATCAATAACTTGTATTTTGACTGAAAATATAGAGTTTTTATTTTCTTTTTCCGCAAAAAACAGCTGTCAGCTGGGTTCTGTATGAAAATGGTAGTGCTTACCTTTGCATCGAAAAGTGTCCGATGCATGGTTAATTTGTGTCCGATGTACGGTGAAATTAGCATACTAGTAAAAACCAGCTCTAATAAGAATTAAACAAACATTGAAGTGAAATTTCTATATAATTTATGTAAAATTACCAATCCCTGACAAAATTCACCAAAGTCCGACTCGTTCCGAGGAAGTCGAATTTAAAAGAACGATAACTCTGAAAATTGCAAAATCATAAATTTCGGGTTATTCCCCTTTGATGATGTAAAATATGACGTAACTTCAAGGCCATTTGTGGGGTATTTTTATCACAACATGACAAACACAATCGGTATCATTAAAAAATTTAAATCTTCATCTTTACGACAGAAACAAATAAATACACAGAACTCTTAAGTTGAAAGAGAGTTTAATGCCTAAAGTTGTCCGAAGCAAGGTATGTGTCCGATGTATGGTGAACTCACCCTATAGCATTATCATCAAAATGCTTGAATATCACGATGACGATTTAAACAGGCAATAGTTCATTCTGTGGCCCGGTCAACAGTTTGACTGTTTCATGATCACGCAAAAACATAAAAAGAATCATGAAACAGTTCAAAATGCCTTATTACATTTTATAAAGTAGGTTAGGTAATAAAACTTTTTATCTGACGTCATACTTTCGTCACTTTAACGGTTCGGGTATTTACGATTTTGTCGGAAACTTCCGAGAAGTTCGGAATATTGATCCCGATGCCTGGGAAGTGATTTTTTTTATTATTCTTTTCTTCCTTTTAAATGAACTGAGGATAGGCAGTGCAAGTCAAAGCTGTGTAAATGTTTTTGATAGTAAATAACTGCGCTCGCCCCAACGGTGGCACCTTAGAACATATTGGAATTGGATTGGAATTAGCCAAGCAGAAAGTCGCACGAATGAAAAAAAAATACCTGGAGGAAGTGCTGGACCGAAACATTCATCATCAGACATTTTAAAAGATAATATTGATAATCTATTTCATGAATCGTCCATCTTGTGTTACATTCCGAAGCTCGTCCGACAAACACACGTTGATTGGACCAAATTCACCAATATTATCCAATGAACATGGTCAAGATTATACTCCCTCTGAATCACACGAGTGCTTGATACAGTCGAAGAGCAAACAGAAAAATGAAAAATAATTTTAACACGGATTGTGTTGCACATGTGAATGCAACGTTTGTAAACAGTTTACCCTAGACGTAAGAAATGCCGAAAAACAAGGGCGGGGGAGGTGGAGGAAAGGGCGCTAAAGGTGGCGGTGGTGATGACGATTCCTCAAAGAAACAGGCCAAGGGCGGCAACTCCGTAAAGGTGACAATGTTTTTATTGATTAAAGATGCCCATGTTTGAAGTCAGTCTCTTGACATACAAAGTTCATATGAGGCCGATGATATATACACGACGGCCGTGCGCATAGTAAAGAAAGTCTATTTACACGACCGTCGTGCGAATAGCTAATGCAAATTGCTGAGATATATACACGACCGTCGTGCAAATAGCAATTGCATATGCAAGAGATATGCACACGACGGTAATATTGTTTACACGAATCCGGGATGTCTCGCGCCGATTCTGTTTTGCACTGAGATGGTTCGCACCAGGACGATTCGCGTCGATTTCAGCGCGAAACATCTCACGTTATATTTTAAATATATTACATTTTGTTTTTGTTTTTTTAAATTTATTTATTAACTTTAAGATAAAATATATGCTATATCATATGCCTGCTCAAATTCATGACTTAATAATTTTGTCTTTTTTTAATTGTCGTGTACTCATTATTTGAATTTCTAATTCAATAATTAGTAATATTAAAACGACAATATGCACTTCCAAAAATAACGGATCGTAAGGTGTTTGTTTGCTCAACGTGTGTGTTCAACATATCAATGATACCCCACAGTCATTTCTTTTCACATCCCTTTCTTTTTACGATACAGCTTTGAAATTCATGGATATGTTATAATTGATTACTTTACATTTATAAAATATATGGACGCACCAGCACAAGGATGGTATTCAATGTTCAAGTGTGCCAAAGAATGCAACGGTAAATAAAGCAGTTTATTAGCCATAAAAAAGAAACACATCTTTATTTAAAAAAAAAAAATAATGAAGATTAATAGAAACCAAAAAAATAAAGGAAAGGGGGGTGATCACTTGGCCATCCATTGTAAAAGAGAAGTGCGGATCACCAAGGGTAGACACTAACTTACACACTTGCTCGCGATGATAGGAGAGATGGGGAGGTGGGGATAACAGTTACGTTACGTTTATTAAGAATTCAGTACTAGAGTAGGTGAAAATGCTTATCAAATGTGCCCGTGTTAATTGTTGGGATAAGGGTTGAGGTGGAAAGGGTAAACCCAGGCCTACCAAAATAGTAAGTAAATATTTTATTAAAATGACTTGTTTATATATATACAAATACAAGGGTAGTTCTAAAAGAAACAGATTTACATTACAACGATCTGTCCATTGGACCTAAATGTCATTTTATTATATAAATTAACATCATGAGAGAAAGTTTTTGCGATGTTTTCTTACCAAAAGGCTTTTTGGGCTTTAATTACTGCGTGCCGAACTTAACTGGGGACGAAAATACGAACGCCATAATAAGAAATATATAGGGTCGTGCGAACAGCTGATATATATATATATATATATATATATATATATATATATATATATATATATATATATATATATATATATATATAACACGACGGTCGTGCAAATAGTCACTGAAAAATTATATACACGACGGTCGTGCAAATAGTCACTGAAAAATTATGTACACGACGGTCGTGCGAATAGCCGTTGAAAAAGTAAGTGCACAACGGTCGTGCATATAGACACTGCCTTCATATGAAGCAGGCACTTTTCTCAAATAATTACTACATATTGGGTCAGATACAATCACTTCATTTAGCTGACAGGCGCTTGTTTCATACTGTTATTAAATAGTACAAAACTAAGCTTACTGTATGAAACAAGCGCCTGTGATTTAGCTATATAGCTTGAAATTCATAAATTATCCCACGTTTCTAACTATCATTGATGTCCCTGGCATACTCTACAAACACAGGCGTTTTTTTCATATAAAACTACATGTGCTTATGTAGAGCATGCACAGGCGCTTGTTTCATACAGTAAGCTTAGTTTTGTACTATATATTAGAAAACTAAGCTTCCTGTATGAAACAAGTGCCTGTGTCTAACTAGACAGTGATTCCTGTAATTCAATTTCACTGTGAAATAAAACTGTAATTGAGATTTTAAAAATGGTAGTCTCATTGATTTAAATTACACAAGGCCTCCTGTGTCAATTTCAATAGTCTCAAGCTCACTGACGTCAAACACAAAAACAGACGCACAAGATTACAGGCATATTAAATGTATTAGGCACAGGCACTCATTTCATACAGAGGGCACCCCAAAATAAGTAAGGGTGCCCCATATACACAAGATTACAGGCATATTAAATGTATTAGGCACAGGCACTCATTTCATACAGAGGGCACCCCAAAATAAGTAAGGGTGCCCCATATACAAAACAAGTGCCTGTGATGTTAGGCCTCCTTATCTCCTGACCAATCGCTTGGCGAAATTTACATTGTTGGAGAATGATCAAGAAATCAACTCAACTAACTTGCACAGCAGGGGAAATGTTTGCCAGACTTGGATTTGAACCTAGGACCAACTGCTAACTGTGCAGACCGGTGCTCTACCTAAGCAGTGTTTTCCCTATGAAATGGCTACCGCCAAATTGACCGCTTTAATTGAGAAAATTGCCACTTTAAAATTTTAAAAATATCAAAATTGATTTGTTGATTTGTCAGAAACCTTGACCCAAAGCCTGATATAAAGGGAAAGCTCTGCTAAGGGGCCAACATACTCATTACTCAATGCCTTTTACATTCATATTTAGGTTCGTCATATCCTTTGTGAGAAGCAGTCCAAATGTCTAGAGGCCCTGGAAAAAATTAAAGGAGGGATGAAATTTAATGAAGTTGCTGCACAATATAGTGAGGATAAGGCCAGATCAGGAGTAAGTGACCAACTAATACTATAGAGATTCCTTATTTTTTGTGAGCACTATATAATTATTACGAAAATGCCCTTTAACATCAAATCACTAGATCAGATCAGGAGTAATTAAGTTATCATTTATTGGCATTTAATGATTTAAATGCAGACCAAGGATAAACATAAACTCTTAGAGATTAAAAGTTTAGATAATTATTGGAAATGATTTCCTATATCTTTACTTTTGGTATATATAAAATACAACAGCTATATGTTAGTTTCCAATAATAATCAGCTTATGTTTGGTTTCCAGTATTTGTGTATATTATATAATCATTTTATGTTTGGTTTCCAGGGCGACCTAGGTTGGATGACCCGTGGCAGTATGGTTGGACCGTTCCAGGATGCGGCGTTCGCTCTCCCCACAAGTTCACTGGCCAACCCCGTATACACGGACCCCCCGGTCAAAACAAAGTTTGGTTATCACATCATCATGGTGGAGGGCAAAAAGTAAAAAAAAAGATTTTAGTATCATTACAGACAGAATGTGAATTGCAGGATCATATAAAATTTTAAATTAAGAGTGAACTTTTTGATAATTGATTTTAGAAGTTTTTTATGACACATATGGGCCTAATAACGGAATTAAACATTTGAGGTGTTTTACAAAGCTTCAATGGAATGTTATATTCTGATTCAGAGGTTAGCTGTGTTCAAAAATTATCTTGTGTTCTACCTGTTCTAAGCATACAGTCATGTATTTCTATTACACAGCATGTAATATTATTAGGACCTAAACTGTAACATTTTACTTTACAATGTTTACAGACACTTGTGAAAGGTAATAGAATTTAATTAATTTAGAATATGAAATTTATTGATTTGTAAGAATTATATATTTGGATGTATAGTACTGTGATTTGTTGCTATGCTGAACACATTAATACTGTTTATAGATAAAAATTCTTTTTTCTGTGATTTTACATATAATAATAATATTTTTTTTTTTTTTTTTTTTTTTTTTTGTTTAAATTTTTTTTATTATCCCATCATATATTAAATTACAATGCTTAGTGCCAGGGTTGGGGCCCTGGATTCACTATGCTTACATGGTTACAACACAAGCTTATCTTATGATAGGACAATTTTTTTTTTTTTTTGTTAATCCATTCACTCATCATTCAATAATATTGATCTAAATAAATTTATTGTTAATGCTTTGTCCTCTTATAAATTATCATATAAAAAGGTTATATTTGTAATTTTCATTGGCTGAAAGGATGTCAAGTGATATTGCATTGCACAAGGTTCTGTATGCCCAAGTATGTGGAATGTTACCTTATAATATAAGAAGCATGTTTTTACAATTGTTAAATAATGACAACCAAGCCCATTCATATAAGACTATATCGGAGCAATATATTCACTTTGATTGATTTATATAATAGTGTTGTACTTTGCGTGCACTATGCCTAAATAGTAGTCAGGGTTTGACACATGCAATGGTGCACGGGTTTCAAATATTTTACACTTACAAAAATAATTTTTCTAAAATAGATTCTTGCAATTTTCCCTCCTTTACTCCAATAATATTCTCTAAAACTATCTGTATATTATGTCTAAACCATGGAACATTCAAAATTAAAGAAAAAAGATTATGTCATATACAAATACAAATATTTTATTGGCACAAACACAATTACAGTAATTAATAAAGGCCCAAACCGAATATAGTAATATAGGCATGATAATACAGTAGAACACAACTAAAATACAAACAATTGGTGTAGCTAATTATGTAGTATACTCATCAGATACTAAATACAAGTATAATTTAAAACAATGTAGTTACTCATTTATAGCTGAAACATTTTTTTTCTTTTATCAGATATTTGACATTAAAATGATGATAATGTTTTAAGAACTTTTTTACAACTGGTTTTCATCAATAATTTTAACAATTTGTCATTATTGTGGATTGGTTAAAGATAGGGAAAGTAGATAATTTTGTTTTGAATATTTATGTTTCTCTGTGCTTCAAATTTTGGACATAGCAAACTGAAATGTTTTTCATCCTCAATATTAAGGTTTTGACATACTTTACACATCATATCAATTTTATTAATTTCAACATATTTATATATAACATATTATATAACATTATAAGTTATGTGCACTTAACCTAATTTTTGCTAAAACTGATTTATCATGCAGTGACTCTATAGTTTGTCAACATAATGTGCATGTTTATAATTAAGACAAAAGTTTTGATAAAATGACAGTTTTGAGGAGTTCATAATACTTGCATTTTGTTCTTGTAATATTTGATCATGAATATGTTGCTTAACAATACCAAGCACTGGTTTCAATGACATATATGACATATTAAAATTTGGTAAATAAGAATAAGAATAAATAAGAAAGTTATTAATTAAGACAAGTCTTTAAAAACATAGACCATGTGTTAGTTTCTTTAGATTTGATAAAAGTATCACATGCCAAGTATGTTCCATTGAAATTAAATGATCAGGGTAAAAGTTTGAAATGTAGAAGAGGATAATAGGTAAATTTACCTAAACCACGTGTCTGGCTTTATTAACTAGCTGAGCTGCAGCAAGATTAAATTTGCCATTATATTTAAGATTTATACCAAGATAACAATATTTGTCAACAGTTTCAATACAGAATACCTTTTATAATAAAATGGTTTTAAAAGGTTTTACCTTTAGAATTAAATACCACAATTTTCTGTTTGGATTTGTTAAATCTCTAGCTTCCACTTAACACAATAATTTTCAAGAATATTAAGGCTACATTGTAGACCATCAGGAATACTTGACAACAAAACTGAGTCATCAGCATATAACAAGCAGTGTATTTTTATGTCCTTTACCAATATCGGATCAGAATTGATAATGTTTAATTCATCAACAATTTTGTTTATGAAAATGTTAAAAAGCAAGGGACTTAATACATCACCTTGTTTTACACCCCTTTCAGATATAAAGGGTTCACTTAACTCCTCATTAAACTTTATTTTGTTCAAGGTGTTCGCATACATAGAATAAATCACACTGAAAATTTTCTTTAGGACACCATTTTTTAGAAATATATAAAATAAACCTGTTCTCCAAATCGTATCAAAGCTTCTTTCAGATCAATGAATGCTGCATAAACTTTTTCTTTTTGAGTTTGTAATGCTCAATTATAGATTTAAAAAAAATGTGATTTGATTTGAACATATTTTATTGCACAAAATATATACAATGGGATTGGGCACAAGTTCTAAAAACTTAAATCGCCCTCTCCCTACATGAGATATTATAACAGGATGAATTAGAAGTGTTCAACAGTTTGTACAAAATAAATAACAAGTAAATTAAATAAACTCTCATTGTGGACATATATAGACTGCTACATTATTGTTTATACAAATAGTTTAAAAAAAAAATGTGTACAATCAGTTAAATCTACCAGAATGCTGAATATAAGAATGTACAATAGAAAATAGATATTCATTTTCAGCAATACTGAGTGATGTATCCCCCCAGAGTAAAGTCTGAATGTCAACAATATGGACTTTATTAAATCTCAAGAACTTATCGAAAAACTCTTTCCTGGCCTCGTTGTAGTTAGGGCACGAGAAAAAATAATGATGTGTATTTTCTACCTTACTGCAGGAACATAATGGACTAGATATTATATTACATCTATAAAGATCAGCGTTTAGCACGCAATTGTGCCGAAGCCGTGTATGCAGTATATTGTTGCGTCTTTTACCAAAATTAAAATATGGCGGAGCTTCTGTTATTTTTTGTTTAATTTTACTTTTGAAAACAGACAAAGAGCTCGAAAGTCTGGTATTTAGCGGTAAGGAATTCCACTCATTTATTACAGTTGGTACAAATGATGATTTGTAGGTTTGCAATTTACATACAGGTATACTATAATTTTGTGAGTTTCTTGTTGTATATGCAGAAGCATTACATCGCATATCAGGTATAATCTCAGATAGGTAATCTGGTACTAAATCATTGTGAATTTTGTACATGGTATTTAATCTTTGGATCTTGCGTCTGTCGCTGAGTGGTTCCCAGCCTGTTTCAAAATACAAAGAGTCTCTAGAGGCAATCATAGTTAGTCCAGTAACAATCCGAGCTGCGTGTAGTTGCAATTTCTCTAATTTTTCAGAATCGATGGATAGACAACCACCCCATACAACTGAAGCGTACTCAAGTTGGGGACGGATGAATGAAGTATACATAAGTGAAAGGCTTTTTCGATTTATTTTAAACTTAAGTTTTTTCAAAAGACCTAATTTTTTGTATGCATTAGACAGCAAGATTTCAGTGTGAGATGACCAACTTAAGTTGTATGAAAACGTTACCCCTAGATGCTTATGAGTTTGAACATATTCTAATTGGCTATCCTGGAAAAGGAGTTTTGGAAATTCTTTGTTTTTTCTTGTGTTAAAAAATACAACCTTAGTTTTAGAGGGATTAAATTTTAGCAACCATTTTTTAGACCACTCTTCAAGAGATAAAAGATCATTATTCAGATGACCTTCTATAGATTTGACACATTTAGATGCATACTGCAAACTGTTATCATCAGCAACAAGAGGCCCATGGGCCACATCGCTCACCTGAGCACTGTGGCTAGGCAAAGTATAAATTGGTTTATTATTGAAAAGGTAAAATTAAAAATGAACAATCATGGATTTTCTAATACAGAAGATTTTTAAAGAACCCTATATATTTCTATGTAAAACTTTGGTCGGCCATTTTGGCCCCGCCCTACCCCCGGGGGTCATGATTTGAACAAACTTGAATCTACTACCTGAGGATGCTTTATAAATATGATGAATTATGGCTTGGTCATTCTTGAGAAGAAGATTTTTAAAGAATTTTCCTATATATTTCTATGTAAAACTTTGGTCGGCCATTTTGGTCCCGCCCTACCCCCGGGGGTGGTGATTTGAACAAACTTGAATCTACACTTGAGGATGCTTCCAATAAATATGATGAATTATGGCTTGGTCATTCTTGAGAAGAAGATTTTTAAAGAATGTTCCTACATATTTCTATGTAAAACTTTGGTGCCATGGCCCCGCCCTACGGGGGTCATGAGTGAACAAAGAATCTACACTACCCGAAGATGCTGCCATATAAATATGATGAATTATGGCTTGGTCATTCTTAAGAAGAAGATTTTTAAAGAATTTTCCTATATATTTCTATGTAAAACTTTGGTCGGCCATCTTGGCCCCGCCCTACCCCCGGGGGTCATGATTTGAACAAACTTGAATCTACACTACCCGAAGATGCTTCCATATAAATATGATGAATTATGGCTTGGTCATTCTTAAGAAGAAGATTTTTAAAGAATTTTCCTATATATTTCTATGTAAAACACTTTGGCCCTGACCCGGGGGTCATGATTTGAACAAACTTGAATCTACACTACCTGAGGATGCTTCCATATAAATATGATGAATTATGGCTTGGTCATTCTTGAGAAGAAGATTTTTAAAGAATTTTCCTATATATTTCTATGTAAAACTTTGGTCGGCCATTTTGGCCCTTTCAGGATTTGAACAAACTTGAATCTACACTACGTGAGGATGATTCCCCATAAGTTTCATCTTTCCTGGCACAGTGGTTCTTGAGAAGAAGATTTTTAAAACATGCCACCAAATTTTCATTAATTGCCAATTATCTCCCCTTGAATGAGGGCGTGGCCCTTCATTTGAACAAACTTAATCCCCTTCACCCAAGGATGCTTTGTGGCAAGTTTGGTTG